ATCTGGGTATCCGACTTCTTTATTCGAAGTCAAAGGCCCAGAGGAGACTAACATCACACCTTCAAAAAGTTACTTTTTGAAACACGCCTCTGCGGAAGCGTTTTATGGGCAATTACAATGCTTGGCAGATTATGGGTCGGCGCTGAAATACCTCGAAACCTGGGCCAATCGACCCCAGACTATACCGTTGCTTCAAGCCTTCCAGAACTCCATCACACATCGTTCGTCAGACTTCAAAGGACATATGTCTAAGATACAATCAAGATATATACATCCCGAGACTGACATTGTTGTTAGCCTCCTGCAAGTTCAGGACGAACTCGAACTCGAGTTGCGATTACTTTCCAAACTTTCTACTATCACAAGATTAGTCGATGCGGAGCCATATGCACACGCTTTCCGTTACCTGGAAATTCTATATGATGAGACCTGCACGTCACAAATGGCTGATGACGAACAAGCCTATGAATTAATTGGCACAATATTCTTTGAGTGTTTCCAGGTTTATTTACGTCCTATTAGACTCTGGATGGAGGAAGGAGAATTGGGAACAACAGACAAGATCTTCTTCTTATCGAGATCATCAGGAGATTTGGATCGAGCGTCAATATGGCAAAGCCGATTCAAGCTACGCCAGACTCAAAACGGAATTCTTCATGCCCCAAGCTTTCTTCGAACGGCAGCTGGAAAGATATTTACAACGGGAAAGAGTGTTGTCGTTCTGAAGCAGCTTAATAAATTTCAGTCCATGCGATCATCGGAGAGCAGCTACGAGCCTGTCTTGCAGTTTTCAACAGTATGTGAGACTGGTCCATTGCAACTGGCGCCATTCAGCGAGCTTTTTGATGTAGCGTTCTCATTATGGATCCAGAGCAAGCATCATGCCGCTTCCACGACACTCCGTAAGATCTTATTCGACTCTTACGGGCTACGAACATCTCTTGAAGCCCTATCTAACGTCTACTTCATGGCTGATGGTGCTCACGGTGCCTCATTCACTAACCCATTATTTGACAAACTCGATACCCTGGATACTTCCTGGAGTGATCGGTTCACACTCACTGAGCTACTACAAAGTTCATTTGGTGTTCTTCCATCTGTCAACAAAGATCGACTCTCGACAACAGTATTACCCCTGGGTCTCAAGAATCAAGATATCTCCCAATACCGAAGGACTGTGAAAGTCCTGTCAATAATACGGCTCAACTATCACTTATCGTGGCCTATTCAGATCATACTCACTGTGGACACTTTGTCGAGTTATCAGCGAATATTTACATTCCTGTTCCAGATCCGGAGAAGTGCTCATATCCTTGCCCGACAACGACTCCTTGTTGATCGACTTTACTCTACTAGCAGATCCAATGAACGCTCGCTATACTATTCCTTGCGAACTCAACTCCAGTGGTTTGTACAAAGTCTGTACTATTATCTCACGTTTCTAGTTATAGAGCCAGCATCTTCAAAGATGCGTCAGGCGATAGAAGATGCTATCGATATTGACACCATGATCGAAGTCCACTCAACATACATCAAATCGACCTGCGAGAAAGCGCTGCTGGGCATTAAACTCGAATTGATCCACAAGACTATCCTCAAAATTCTGGACTTAGCCATCAGACTGGAAGACTCACAAGCCGCCAACACACTTGCAAGTAAAGAAGCACGAGACCAACAACAAGAACAAATGGATTTATCCATGGCCAGTCTAGGATTACCAACACCTCGTAAAGCCGAGACAACCAAACCTCAAGCAAGGCCTTACACCAAGACACCACGCAGATCTTTTGATGATAGCTCTAACTCAGAACAAGACTCTGAAGTCGACGTTGACCTAAGCATCCTCTCTACCTCTATGCTCGAGCACGCTCGCCAGGACCTATCCTACCTGGAGGATCTTCGGAGCATGGAGGCGGATTTCAATAGGCTTGTACGGTTTGTTGCTACTGGGCTGAGGGGAGTGGGAAGGGCTGGGGCTGTTGAAGAAGCGAGGAGTTGGGATGTTTTGGGGGAAATTCTTGAGAGTGGGTTAGGTCAAGTGGGTGGGATTAGTTATTAGTATAATCCATATGAACGATCTGATAAAAAAACAGAGAGGTTGAAAAGACAAAACCTTCGTCGCTTAGTCCGCTTTATGTTGCGGCAGCAGAATAATCGGTCGAATGCTAGCGAATTTTTTTGGGGGGACAGAGAGTAAAGGTACAGGTTATCGTAGCAGCATCATATCAATAGTGTGGTTGTAACCAATTATTATCATTCGCTTAAGACTTCACCTCATCCCACTTTTCCTACCCTCCCTCATAGTCTGAAATAAGGACCACAGCAGTCATCCAATCAGAACCTCAGGTTCAAAATCAGTCACGATGCCAGAGTGGTTAATGGGTAAGACTTGAAATCTTATGGTTTCGGCCGCGTAGGTTCAAATCCTGCTCGTGACGTTTTTATTTACTTTTATTTTTTTGGATTCTAGGGTGGTATGGATAGATGAATTATCGATAGTAAGGGGCTGGGGAAAGATGCTCTTTCTTTTTTACAATTTTCTGTGTGAAAGTGCTAGGTTTGCGGAGGGGACACTATATGGGATTGGAAGCATGCAAAAGGCTTCTCCACGAAATTTGTGAAGGGGATTGAGTAGCACAGCATTAATACATGCATCTACTTCTTCTGAGAGTTGATTTTGAAAAGTGTATAATGGATCTAAACTCTACTACCACATAAGTCAGTCTCAACTTTTTTTTCCGCTGGTTTCGTTTTAGTGTTTGGACGTAAGTAGCTGCCGCGTTAACCTGTGCCGAGGGTGAGCATTCCTGATTATAGCCTGAGCATACTGTAGCCTGAGTTAGCCTGAGCATTCAAGTAGGGGTTCTGTTTTGGCCCCCTAGCTGCCTGTTTGAACCCTTTTGATCCGGCTACAGTTGCAAGGCATATAATATGGATTGCATTATTGTACAAGAAGTCAAAAAGGCTTCCTCGAATTAAATACACGTCTATTACACTGCTTCTACCCAGTCAAATCAAATTGAGTAGCCAGATGATTAAACAGCTCAAACTCCATCCTCTCAGCAGCCTTTGGACCCTGAGGTATACTACCTATCATATCAGAGTCAGGTGGGAAATCATGCTCGAACTGAGGCTCGCCAGCACCCTTCATATTAGCTAAAACAGCCTGTCTAAAATGCCAACGTAAAAGCTGTTCAGCTGGTCTTTGGGGATCATCGAGAAGTCTTCGGTCAAGATATTTTCCAGCAATGCCCTTTCTATCTCGTGAAAAGCATACGATCTTGTAATTATCCTAAAATAATTAGTATATTTTATAGAAAAGTATAAAGGATATATACATACATCTGGATTAATCGAGAAATCACAAAAGTCAAATAGCGTATGTATATCGTCGCGGAGTAATAGTCCATTTTGTATAGAGTTGATGGTTCCTCCTCTATTTAGATTAATTAAAATCCAGCGGCCGTAATTGTGATCAGTCCAGTACTGCTCATAAGCCAGTGGAAAGATATGCGTAGCCTCGAAACCCCGCCAATTATCATCATCGAGATACTCTTCCCCTGTTATAATACATCGTCGATCCCGTAAACGAACAGCATCGCGGAAGGCTTGGACACGAGTTCTAGTTTGTAGAGAAAGTGCCCGGCTTAGCAATAGTTCATTACTAAGGTCGAAGGGTTCTGCTTTTGATTTAATTACTTGTATATTTATAAAATAGCCAACTTACGAGGAGCATGGATGTAATAATTCCCAGGTTGTAGTAGAGAGCTGTCCTTCTCTATTATTACGTCACTTTCATTTCGTAGAGTAAAGTCGCTTGTAGCAATGACAATATCTCTACCATAGTATAGAAGTTGGCATTTGTAACACCGTCCGTAAGAATCAGGCCGCCGATTGTAGTATTTCGATCGCTCGCGTTAAAGATATGAATATTGCGATGTTTAGAGCGGTAGGTGTTTGTCATAGTGTGGTTTTCGGGCTGCGAGAGGATGTCTTTGGGATTTGAGAGAGTATCTTCGTGCTCTTTGATATTGTTTCCGTGTATTGGGAGAGTGTTAGAATGTGAGGAAGAGCTGGGGTGCGAGGCGTCGCCGGGGCTGTAGTGAGTAGAAGAAGACGACATCGTGAAGATTTGGATAGCGTGTAGTGTGTAGTGTGTTGGAGATGCTTTGAAGAAATGACGATAGGATATGTAGTTTCGTAAGGTAGTTAATGATGAGCAGAAGGGTGGTTAGCGCCTGAGTAGAAGCGCCAGGCAAACTAAACGACCTTGGAACAAAAAATAAAATTGTCGACCACTCTGACACTTCTTCTTTTCCTCAAACCATTAGCCCCAGGTAGACTTGACATTACTACCATCGCATTCTGAAATTCGATCGACTATTATCGACGTGAACAAGTAGGATATCCTCAAATTTCGGAGGCACTAGGTGCATTAGGTTATATTTACTATGGAGGAGGCGCCATCTGTTCTTTCTAATATTATAGTCGACGAAGGAGGTACAGTACACTCGAGCTTATAGAATTTGATAGGAAAGTAACGATATATTTTTGATTCCACTTAGAAAACAGTTGCGGCATTAAAACTTATTTGCGTTTCATGAAAGAAACATGGGGGCTTTACAACAGTAGGTTTTAGAGATAACATCCCTCGCCACAATAGACACGCCAGAAAGAAGCGCAAGCGAGTGAGATTATTTCTGCTGGGTGTGATAATAGAGGGGATTTAGAGGAGAGAAACCCAATCAAGTAGTGTACAGTCTTCTCCAGGACCACACAATCACTTGAATAATTCGGGAGTCCAAGCAATATAAGTAATATTAAGTAGCACAGTAAAGCTTCTATAAGCCTTTACCACTGTCTGCTGAAATTGTGACACTTCGCACTTTACAATTCAGTACTCCTTTCGTAAGCGAATTCTCTAAAAATTTGGTTCCCACGCCAAGACCAACCAAAAAATTTCTGCATTTGTCAACAGATACCAAAAGATCAATTGGGAACGACTCTGGGATGATTCGAACACCCAATCTTTGCAGTAATTCCAAACCGAAATGCAACGCCTTAACCATTAGGCCACAGAGCCTCACTGAATGAGGGCGGAAGAATTATTTAATACCATGTCAGATATTTACATGAGGGGGCTTCGATGTGGAACCCGAGGTCCGTCCGAGAAGCGAGATGTCTTGATGCTGGAGGTTGTACGTAGCAACAAGGAGTCGATATAGCCGAGAAACGTAGTTGGATAAAAGAGGAAAAAAAGGCCATAAAAAAGACTAGGAGTTTCACTTCAAAAAGCCGTTGAAATGGGCGTGCAACGGGCCGTTTAAAGCAGTTGACAAAAACTCCCGACATGAGTCTTTGTAGGGTTTCAAAAGGGAAACCTTGATGTTATTTGTCTGCGTTAAGAAGTTAGGATAAGGGTTGGTGACTATGTATACGTATACCTAAAGTCGATGAATTGTTGAAAACTTCCACTATTCAGGCAAGTCTTTAGAAGAATACTTTTATTGACAATTTGCCTCCCTACTCCAACGCGCTCACTGGGCCCCGAAAATCTTAGGCTGAGGATTCGGTCCGCGGTCGAAACGCATTGCCAACTTCAACGTCGGTGACATCTTCGTCTAGGTCAGTATCTTGTTGTTGGTCGTCCTCGTATCGTTCATCATCTTCGTCCTGTTCGTCTTCCTCCTCGTCGTCATCATCTTCGTTCATCATATCGTCAGAATCGTCATCTGCTTCCGAGGGACTATCAGATTCTTCTCCATCCGAGGTCTCAAACCCCCCTTCATCATCACTTATCTCCATAGCACTACCCTCGCCGACCCCTTCATTTCTGTCAGAGGATAGGGTGGGAAACACGGCTTGTGGATTCCCGTCGCTGGCGAGGTTGACAGGAGGCCCCATAGATGACGCTGAACTCATAGGCATAGACAAATTATTGGTTGGTGGAGCTGACATCAAAGTTCGTTGCCGGTTACCGTCTTCCACTGTCTGACCTGGCAATGGGGCTGGCATTAAAGGTCGGAAGCCACCTGGTACATTGACTGGCGGTGCTGTCTGATGGCGGTTAAGTTGAGCGCCTGGAAATAGCCCGGTCGCCTTTCGCATTCGTAGTGGTTTGTATGCCTTGTTAGTAATGTATGGTCGGATTCGACTGCTTCGCGCTTTTTCTTTGCTATACCTCTCCTTTCTCATACCTTCGATGTTGATCCCCTTGGCATGTAGCATCTGTAGCTCCACAGGCGAAGGCCATACATCAGGTACTGGGACTTGGATTGACTTGCGGTTCTTTTTATCTGGCACAATATCTGGAACCTCAAGTGCTACCTCGAAGTCTATATCATTAAGCTCCTTCTTCAGTTGTATAGCATCTAGCTTCGTCCGCATAATGGCCTTTATCTTCGCACCAGAGCCATTATTGAACCAACCATCAACCTTCTCATCACATGTTTCCCTGTAAGGCGAGTCACGGATGAGTCGCTTGAGCAGTGGGTCGGTTATGTCGCAGAGCTGCCAGATTTTGCCATCAGGCGCCACAGAATTACCATCGAAGGTATGACTCTGCGACTGTATCTGATCCACAGCATTGCTGTGGGCTAGCGAGTTTTCTGCATCGTCTTGCCAAGACCTTCCAGGTGTCCCCATTATATCTTTGTCGAAGTGGAAGAACATGACCTGGTAGTCACGATACTTTGGATCTGTCCTAGGATCAATCCCTATCTTGATAACAATGTCGCGCCATGGACCTCCACGGAATTGGTATGCGACATATTGAAGAGCGTATCTCATGTTTCCGACATTTGGGTTATGGGAGACTCGATTTTTTAATGCTCTTCTTGTCCAAAGAGGCCGCTCATCCAATGCCCCTTTCAGATCCTTCAGTAGACTCTGTAGATCAGGATCTGATGGAGGAGGTGGGCACACGCTAGGGGACGCGGCAGAACATTTGAGATACTCCATTTTGAGTCGCGACGGTCTTGACTTGTTTCCTACCAAGGTCTTCCCTGTCTCCGGGTCGACATATGATGTTGTATAGGGATTTTGTTGCCATTGCCATCCAAAGGGGAGTGCATATCTCGTCAAGGTTGGGGGAGGCATGTATTGGTCATTTTTCTTCCAGCCTCGATCTGGTCTCAGACGGAATTGCTTTATCTTGTCCACTGACGCCACATCAGCTGCTAGGGTTATTTAGGGTGGAAGGGCAATATGAACACTTACATTCGCCAGTAAGGACTGTCTCTTTGAAACGTGGCAAGAAGTCTGTTCTGCTTGTCGAATGCTGATAATCTGCAAGGCCTGTACAAGGAATTATGAGAATCATTCACATTTGGCCAATTGATTTGCCTACCTCGAAATCTGTGTGTCTGCTTAATCTGGCCCACGGCCTCAATCTCATAATTTCCAACATTCTCTCTGAGTGTTCTCAGCAGTCTGGAAGGTCCAATCGCTGATGGTAGGGGTTCTTCCTTGGAGACTGTGCTGGGGCTTCCATCGGTTACATCACTAGGCTCTTTCTCAATTTCGACATTGGGATTAATTGGCACGTTGACCGCGTCACTTGGCTCAGCCTGGCCCGGAGCATCGATCCATGGATCTTGCGACCCTCTCTTTCGTTTCCTCCCGGTGGGTTTCGGAACGGTGATTTTAAGGAGAACATTGTTAGTTGTGGTGTTGTGCGACAATATCGCTGGACACATAGGATCGTCTACTTTGAGATAGAGGGGCACACATCCTTCCACGTTATGGGCTTTCACAATCTAATGATTGTTAGCTAAATTGAATATGCAAAACATATCTCCTTTCTTCGATTCTCATTGTGGAGTCACAAGATCGGGAGGGATCACGAGACTGTGCTTTACTGAGAAGGAGAGAAGTTGTTCCTCAGCCCTACAAAGGAAAAGGATTTGAGGGATGAAACAGAAATGGAAAGCTTACTCCTTCGAACGGCTTGTTGGACCCGAATGTCTTGAGTGCATTATCGAGGTTCTTGACCACCATTGGATGCTCGACGGCAAATACCTCTCTTGGTGCCACTTTGTATGCAGGAGCCGAACGTTCGAGTTCCATGTTGCCCTGCATGGTGTTGGAGGAGAGTTCAGAATCTGAACCGTGGTTCCTTCATGCGTTCCTTGCTTCTGGATGCGGGAACGTGTCTTGATGAGACTTCAAGGGAACCTGGAAGTAAACGAGGACCTTAAGAAAAGAAAGAGAACCTGGAACAAAGTTGAACGAAAGAGTGACTGAGTGAGTGAGAGATGAACGAAGGGCGGGTTAAGTTTCGATCCTTGTGGCCTAAGGCATTAAGGCATTAACCATGCTCTTTAGCGCCCTCGCGCCTGTCTAAATTGGCGCTATCCTAGGTGTGCCATAGCGGAGGGGAACTTTGAATTGGAAGAATGTCAAGAACGACTTGTTGCGTCGTCGCCCATTGAATCGCCCTCCCACTTTCCCACTCTCCCACTCTCCTCTTACTCTCCTATTCCCAGCTTTCGAGATCCGCTTTGCAGTATCGGCAGCTCCCACCGAATATTGGTGCGACATTCGTGCCCGACTCCGATCGTCCCTCCACCTAAGGTCAACCAGACAAGAGGAGGCTATTGACCGGTCGAGCAGAGTGTCCCGCTACGTCGGAATTGAGCACGAGACTGAAACCTATCAGGCAGAGCTTAGATATCACTGGTTTTTTTCGTGCTGGAAGCCGTACGTGCTCATGATTGTCCCTACGTTAGAGACATGGAATGGTGCGCTGACGATATTCATATCTAGATCACCCAAGCCCAACCAACTACCACGACGTCAACCCAAGGCATTTCTTTGCACTCGTCCGATCTCTCCTGCGAGTGTTATTCACAAACATACGCGCCAAAGTCTTGCCCGAGAATCCCTGCCAAGCTTCCTCGAGCTCAACATCCTCTACAAGGCCGTGAATGACGAACAAACGGCACATCCTCAATCCAAAATACTATAACCTCGCAGGACCTGACCATTTTCACAAGTTGCTATCACCAGCAATCAGCTGCAGAATCCATTCGTGTTGCAGAGCCTACCGAACACTTGAGCAATAGTGTGTAGCTTGCATAGCCATTGGTCTACTGCCGCAGCTTGCTTCTACAGGTGACCCCTTTGCCTCATATCTTCAAGTTGCAAGAGAAACCCAGTGGAGGAGTAAGAAGCAGACACCGCGTCTGCAGAAATGAACCCGATGAATCGCTTCAGGCAAAAGGTTGTAAGTCGCTCCTCTGATTTACCTAAGTCAAGGAAGCGAGCCCCTCGAGACTGACCACACGCTTACGCCTTAAGCATGAACAGCTTTCGCGATCAAAAGACCCCTCAAAATCATCGAAAAACAAAAAGGGGGAGAAGGACAGCGGCACATCCTCACCCTCACAGCCAGGCGCGTCAAGTCAGTCTCCCGTAACAACACCATCTTCATCCACCACGACGTTGACCGACCCTCGCAATAAACCTTTACCGGCGAATGACGGAGGCGCCGCAAATGCCAATTCAAGTCCCGCCCCGCAGCCACAATCTGGGTCAATCAACTCTCTCAATCCAGGTCATAACGCGGCTCCAGATCGGTTTAATTCAACAATGAATATCAGCCCTGCCAATGCTTCCTCTCCTGGAACTCCCAATCGGCACAACCAGCTCCCTCCCAGTGTGATTATCAGCCCAAGCGCACCGGTAAGTGTTCAAGTGCCTGATCTGTCAAGTTCAATGTCTAATTTATTATTTCAAGCACGTTCCACCCCCAGGAGCCGCAGAAACCATGCCTCATGACCTAGCGCCTCCAAAGGCAGGGCAAAAGTCGTTGATGTTTCATGGACTGCAAACTACACCAAAAGATGTCCCCGAGGGTCTCAGAACACCAAAGAGACAGCACTCGTCAAGATTCGACATCTCTCCCCAGCGCGAACTCGAAAAGTTACCCGGATTTCACGAGGTCCCTCCCAACCGCCGACAAGAGCTGTTCATGCAAAAGATCGACCAATGCAATGTCATTTTCGATTTTAACGATGCTAGTGGGGACATGAAATCCAAGGAGATTAAGAGATTAGCGCTGCACGAACTACTAGATTATGT